GCAATGCCCTTTAGAGGGAACTCAAGGGTAAGGCAAAACCATGGAAGGCCATTTACTTTGGGCAAGTGGGTCATTTCTGCTCCTGCTCTGGATGGCTGCCTTGCCTCAGCTAAGCTAAACCAGTCACTCCATGAAGAATTCATAGCAGCTACTTGTGGTCTTTTCTGACTGATGTATAACTAAATATGTAACAATGCATCTATATTTAAATTGCATTTAAGTTTTCATAAGCTATGTAAACAATGGGCTTAGAAGGTGCAGTGATACAAGAATTTGTCTGCCAATGCAAGAGACACTGGTTCAACCCCTGGGTTGGGAAAATCCCCTAGAGTAGGCAATGACAACCAGGTAAAGAATCCACCTACAATGTAAACAATTACATTCCTTCGAAATCAGCTATCCAGGGGCTTCCAGGTGGCGCTACTGATAAAAGAACCAGCCTTCCAATGCAGGAAACATAATGAGATTCAGTTTTGATCCCTGGGTCTGGAAGATTGATCTCCTGGAGGAGGGCCTGACAACCCACTACAGCATTCTTGCATGGAGAATCCCATGGATGGAGGAGCCTGGTGGGCTATATAGTCCATGGGGTAACAAAGAGTTGAACACGGCTAAAGCAACTTAGCATGTATGTAAGGACTTCTCCAGTGGTTCAGTGATTAAGAATCTGCCTTGCAAAAAAAAAAAAAAAGAATCTGCCTTGCAATGCAGGGGACGCGGGTTTGGCCCCTGGCTGGGGAACTAATATCCCTCATGCCACAACTACTGAGCTCACACGCCACAACTACTGAGCTCACGCACCACAACTAGAGAAACTGGGCACTGCAATGAAAGATCCCACATGACCCAACAAAGACTTGACACAGCCAAATAAATTTTTTTAGAAAATCAGCTACCTTACAACTGATAAGGCCTACTGAGCTTAAAGTTGTTTCAAGTTAACTCCCTCAGATGGGCAAGGCTGAAATTCCAGCTGGGTAATTACTGAGCAAAATAGCCTCTCTAACCCTCTCTCTTCTAAAAATGAGTTATATAGTATCAACAAAGATGTGAAAGGGGATGCCATAAACTGAATGTTTTTGTCTCCCCTAAAATTCATAGGTTGAGACAACCCCCAATATGACTGTATGAAGAGGTGGGGGCTTTGGGAGATGATTAGGTCATGAGGGTGCCCTTGTAAGAGACCCCAAGGAGTACCTTTGCCTCTTCCACCATATGAGGACATATAGAAGCAAAGCTATAAATTAGGAAGAGGGACCTCACCAGATACCAAATCTCTGGCACCTTGATCTCGGACTTCCGGCATGCAGAATTGTGAGAAATAAGCTTGTTTATAAGCCACTCAGTGTATGATACTCCATTATAGCAGCATGAACAGACTAAGGAGAAGAGTTATAAAAAACTGGAATTGTAAGTTTTCACATGCAAGCTATGGTGGCTACTGCCGTGTACACCCATTTCCCCTTTATTAACAAGTCTGATTTTGTCTGGAGAAGCAATAGCTTTTTAAAACACTCTTCCCCAGAATCTCTTGCAGCTAGGAGATGCCAAATGAGTTACAGCCAATGAGACAGAAGCTAAGGGTTTCTGGGAACATGTACTTTACTGACATAGACACTACTCCTTCCTGCTTTCCCCTTGCCTTCTGCCCATGTTTCTTCTTCCTGCCTGACGTGAAACTGGAGGTGGAGCAGCCGTTTTGCATCTGGGCAGCCAGGCATACAGATACAAGCCTACATGCAAAGAATGGTGGAGTCAAAAGAAGGACAAAGGTTTGGTTTCAAAAGAAACCCAAACCACCAGTGGACTTTTTTGTGTGACTTACTGCTTGTTCACTCACTCTTGGGTACCTGTTAATTATAGTCAAACTTACTATAATAGATCTATATAAACCAATTCCCAAAGTATGTTTTTTTCTTTAAAAAAAACCCTTTCAGGAAAATGATTATACAACCTATAAATCACAGAGTGTATCATATTGCAAATTGGGCAATACTACAAAATAAGATACGCAATTTCATAGTATATTACCAAACAATGACGTACTGGGGCTGTCTTCATATAGTATTTGCAATGTAATTTCCTTAAGATGTATTATGCATACATTTTTCAAAAGTCAAAGTATGAGGAAAGAGCAGATGGTTCTGTGCGGCATTCTCAGTTCATTAGCCCCCTACCTGCTACTGCATTATCATAAAGGACTGTCCAATGAGTACAGTTTTAAAAAGTGATAGATCACACTTACTGGATGCTTAATATGCGCTAAGCACATTCCAAGCATTTTATGTGAAATTAACTCATTTGACCCTAAAAATAAAAATCCTTATGATGTAATAAGCACTTTTATCACCCAAAACAAATAAAAAGAAAACTATCACTTCACAGTAGCATTTTTAGTACACAGTCTACTAATATTGTTACTAACTAAAAGCATAACTGGTTCTCCCACTAGCAGTAAAATTTAACATTATACACTCCAATTTTATTTTTATTTAGAAACTCCCAAATAACTGTATGATGAAACCAAGTTTAAAAAAAGCTTTAATAAAGCTCTGTTTTACAGTGCTTAGTGATGGACGAAGAAATGTGCAGCAAGAAATACTCAATTACTTAGATTTCTTGTGTCAAGACCAGGGTCACCTGTGCTTCGTCACTAAAACAAATATTGAAACATAACACAGTGGCACACAGTAGGGAATATCAGTAGTAAAATAAGCATATACGAAAGGAAGTGGAAAAGTATTAATATTTGATTGGCTGACAACATAAGTTATATGAAATTGGCTGATCCATGTAGCACCCAACAGCCCACGGCCTAAATTTATTTTTCAATGATGTCTTGGTTTTCGAACATACCCCAAAAGATCTACATATGAAAAGAAAAGGTAAAACATTTACATACTTTTCATATCAAGAAGAGTGTAATGAAAATTGTAGCAATGTCTATAGTAAAAAGTCAAATGGTTAAAGGTTTTTTTTTTAGTTTATTGAAAAACAAAGCTCTTCAACAAAGTTACTAGCAGCAAAACTTATAGTATCCTAAAGAATAAGGAATACTGAATGTGATTAAGATGTCTTCTAGCTTCAACCACAAAACTCCTTAAAGATTTTAAAGACAATATATTAATCAGAATCAGATTGTACTTTTAGACATTCTTTCATCTTAAGGCCCAAATCAAATAGTTTTTGAAAATGGTGCACTTCTGTTTTTAAATATAGGAGAAGTCAGGATAAAGTAGTTAAAAAATAGAGAAAAACATTTTTTTGGGCAATGCATTCATAGCAACACTGTATGTATCTACAGATCTAAAAATAAAAGACAAGAATGTATGTGGTACTGTTACTCCATTTTGATTGTTAAAAAAAGGCGGGGGGCAGCACAAGGGTAAATTTTTTCACCCGTTACAGTACACACACTGGGATCTGTGGATAAAAAGTAATGAGATATCTTTTAAACAAGTATACCAGAAACTATACATCCACATGAGTGTTGTTCCTTTCAAAATAATCAACTTCTTGGGTTACAAATTTATACAAAGACTATCAATATATACTGAACATATTCTGTTTTCTAGAAAAACAATCTTTTTAGTCTTTTCCTCTAACCAAAAACCAAGATGCATAGGTTAAAATGTTATAATCACGGTGACAGGCTATATAAATCTCTTAAAAAAAAAAAGAGGTACTCATCAACTCAATTTCTGACTAAGAATTTATGCCATTTTTAAGGTTGAGCTGGCTTTCCTCTATCACTCAGCACATTCCTAGATAAGTCTTTCTCCTCTAGGTGCCCATGTGAATATTCTCAAGAACATAAACACATTTCAGAGCTAAAAATTATCAGCAAGGCAAGTCCATTACTCAAATGTACACTGCAAATTAAGTTCTGAAGAAATTTTTAAGAATTTGCTCTTTTTATCCTTATCACTCTTCCTTCACAATTGCTAAGTTTACCAAGAACTGTTTGCATATTTTATATTCAGTGTTGAAAACATAATCCTACTGATTAAAAGCTTACCAAAGCTACACCTACATCACATTCTGAACCTTAGCCTCAAATAAGTATCTGGTCACAACATTTTTAAAAATCGATGAATGAAAGTCCTCCATTTTGTATAAAAGAAGACTGATAATGAGTGGAATCGTGGAAATCCTCAAATACACCAGTAAGCACATTAGTTACCTGTCGAGAAAAGTCATCTTTTTGATGTTTTGAGAATCTTGGAAATTCAGTGATTCTGAGATACTGTTAAGGGTAGTTTCAAAGACATGCTGATGGTAGATGCAACATGACAATGAAGAGAAAACACCAAGTCTGGTCTCCTCTTTCCAGCATGCCTCTTTTTGCTGAGGGTTAGACAGAACAGAAGGACAGGTAAACGGCACAGCCGGGTGAGGATCAAAGTGGCTTGGAGACCTAGGAGGGGGCAGAATACTGAGAATGGGTCCCTGGTGAGGCTAGTCGCCAAGAGGAAAAAACATCTTTCACTGAGACCAAAAGGAAGACAAAGACAAAAACCCACAGAATTTTGGCTGTAAGGGAGTGGTTAAGTATTGAGATGGTGAGATAAAAGGGTTGGGAGTCAGGTGATAGACAGTTTGGAGAAAAAAAGAGAAAGGGGGGATAAAAGAGACCTAGGAGTGAAATGAATGAGCAGTGGGCAGCACCAAGAGTTCCACTGAGAATTAAGAAAAATCAATGTGAAATGTTTAGTGCAGTTTCAGACAGTGTTATACTTAAGAGTAAACAATTCCAGAGATAACTTAAAAAAAAAAAAACCTCTAAAAAAAAATGACCTATTTTGGCTTGAATATTTGTGTCTGCCCCGAATTCATATACTGAAGCCCTAGCCCTTACTGTATTGAAATTTGGAGATGGAGGTCTTTGGGAGGTCACTGAAGTTAGATGAGGTCGTGAGGGTGAGATCTTATGATGAGATTAGTGTTCTTCTAACAAGAGAGAGACTGCTCTTTCCAAGTGTACATACACAGAATGGGGTTCAGGGAGCACACAGCAAAATGATGGCCACGTACAGGGCAAAAAGCCTCACAATGAAACCTACTTTGCCAGCATCCTGATCTTCAACTTTCAAGTCTCTGGGGCTGTGAGAAATAAATTTCTGCTGTTGAAGCCACTCAGTGTATGATATTTTGTTATGGCAACCTGAGGTAAGTAAAAAACTCTTTAATACACCAGGGGAGGATACTGGATTTATGAAACAAGACCAGAAACCTATAAAAAGATCAGAAAAGGGGAGATGGGGTCGGCATGGGGAATACATGTAAATCCATGGCTGATTCATGTCAATGTATGACAAAAACCACTACAATATTGGAAAGTAATTAGCCTCCAACTAATGAAAATAAATGGGAAAAAAAAAAAAAAAGATCAGAAAGGAAGAATGACCTTTTGGAAATTAAAAACACGAGGGAGCTCCCTGGCCCTCTAGTGGTTAGAACTTGGTGCTTTCAATGCCATGGCCCCAGGATCAACCCCTCCTTGGAGAACGAAAAAAAAAATCTCACAAGCAGCAGTGTGGGGGTGAAAAGAAATTTTAAACAAGAAGCGACAGGTGATGTATGCTCCAGGGTCAGAGATAAAATCAGGGAAATTCTCCCAGGAAGTAAAAACAGAAGGCAAAGGGCTAGAAAGCAGGAGAGAAAGATAAGAAAAACAGGAGATCAATGCTGAAATGCCAGGAAGAAATAACACGGAGAAAATGTGGCAATTATTAAAGAAATAATATAAGAATTCACCAGAACGGAAGGAAATTAGTCTTCATCATCAAGGCCCGCCAAAAGCTAAACATATAGACCCTCTCCAAGGTTTCAAGGTAAATTTTCAGAACAAAAACTCCAGAGAGGCAGAAAAATGAGTTACATAAAAAGATGTTATCAGAAATGGCAGGTTTTACAGATAAAGTAGGGACTTCAAAATTCTCAAGGAAGATGATTTCCAACCTAAAATCCTGTATTATCGATTAAATCTGAGACATTTTCAGACATGCAAGATCTTAAAAATCTTAACCCATATGCACCCTTCCTCAGGACACTAATGAAATATGTACTTCTCCAAAATGAAGAACAAACCAAACAAGAGAAAAAAAAAAATCTAAATTCAGTCGAAAAGTGAAACAGTTTCAGATGCCAGAGGGCAGAAGGCCTGGAAAGCAAGAGCCCAAACTGAAGCCCTAATCAGAAAAAGGAACAGTCCTTATCGGAGACATTTAATTGTATAGAAAACAGCCTTCAGAGGGCTTTTGAGATGAGTCTGGAAAAACTTAGTGATGGGAACATAGAAACTTTCAAAGGAAACGAAAGACAAGATTGACAATAAGAAAAGCAAAAAAGTTGAACAAAAAATGACACACGGTGATAATAAATTACTCAAATGATCAACACTCCCACATAGTATTGGGTTAAAAACTGACCACTAATCAAATTTTGCCACCCTTCTTAATTGGGAGAGGAGAGAGAGTAAAAATGGGAAAACGGCATAGTAATCAAATTCTCAACTGTAATAGCAGGAAGCTTCTAGAGAAAGTAAAATACAGAAATATCAAAAAATACCAGCATAAGTATATAATTTAGAAATCTGAAATTAATGCATGCTAAAACCAGTTCAAAGTTAAAAGCAGATGCCTCTGTGGAGCAGGATTCTGCAGTGAGGAAGCTAACAGCTGAGGACTGGTACTGTTGTTTATTATGACTCCTTAAAGATTATCTATGCATATTATTTTGCTAAAAACCTAAAAAAAAAAAAAAAAGAGGTTTAAAAAAGACCTTTCCCTTCACTGTTCTACTCTTCTTCCTCCTCTTCAAAAGATAAAGCTTGTTAAAAAATGATTTGCATAAAAAATAATTCTCTAATTTTAAAAAGTCACAAATTTCAAAATAGTAGTAAAGCATGTATCAAGCTCCTACAAATAGTGCTTTTCAATCAAATCAATCGCCCAGGCATTTTTAAACTTTTCCGAGATAAATGTTTTGAGCATTTGCTATAGTTAAAGAAATACAAATGTCAGAATAGCACTAAGCAGTTTTATAGTGTAACAAATATTTTAAGCAGTCATTGCCTACATCCTCATACTTTTTTATGTACAATTTTGTTTTTTCATCCTGAACTCTATAATGCATCTGTTCTCCATGTCAGGATATCCAACATTCAAATTAAATGTGTATAATGAAATGATGCCTTAGAAAACTACACGCTTCATTTTGAATAAATTTATTCTGAACCTGATTTAGAAGAGGGAAGGCTCATGCTTATTAATTAATGATTTCTGAAAGTCTTTCTAATTTGGAGCTCTGTAATACATTCATAGTGCCATGACACGTTTAAAAAATAGTCATCCTTAAAAATACTAGAATGTACTTTGAAAACCTATTACATATATTCTTTTAAGCTACTCTGATCTAAAGAAAGAATTAAAGTTTATGAAAAGGGAAAATGAACATTAAAAAGTTTATTTCTAGCCCTGAAAGAACAAAATTATTGAACAAGGTCATCAAATACAGCAGTTAATGTCAATGTAACAATTAAATAATTGAATGGGATTAAATTAAAAATAAGTCAATATAAAATTTGAAGACAAAACAGAAAACAAGTTACTTTCACTTAATTCCATTTCTAGCTACCAAAAAATAAAAAACCCCACAAGACATTCCTATCAAAGATGTTCAATTTCAAAGTTAATTCTCTGCTCAACACAGAATGAAAGTATGTTTGACAGAATTATCATACATTTTTTCTCTCCATTTGGCAACATTCTAGAATTGTGAGTGAGAAAGACTTCAGTTCTCTCAAGGCCAGGCCGGTGCTCAGTTCTCCTTTGTAATCCTCACAGTATTCACCACGGTGTCTTTGTCAATGTGGTCAATAAATGTGTTAGTGAGAAATAAAATCCGTGTGTGTGTGTGTGTATTTTCTTTTTCCCTTTCTTAAACATACTCATATACCTGTGGGAAAAACTGATTTTAATGGTTTCTCTATTGTGGGAGCAGTTGAGAAAAGGAAGACAATCTGCTTTTTATATTACTATGAATTTCGCTATAAAAAACCCCAAAGAAGTTTAACCTGGCCTTCAGCTATTGTCTACAATGATTTTAGACATTTCACTCAATATGAATCTCAGTATACTTTTAAACTAAAAAACTAATGCAAAATTTTAAGCACCCATTTTGTTCTAATTAGAGTTACTGCCTGATCAGATCTAAAATTACTCCAAACTAGAATACAGTATATATAAACAAATATGCATTTATGTGAGCCCTACAAAGAAATACTCATAGGTAGTTTTAAATTGCTCATTAAAGGCACAGGGTCATTTAGGACTGTGGTAACTAGATACATCTTAAGCAGCTTAATATTTATATATTGAGGGAAAGAGAATTTATATTACGTGCCAGGCACTCAACACATAAAGACAGAGTTGTGTTAGCCTTAGTTTCTTATGCTAGCACAATCACTCTACTTGTTTTTTTACTATTCTAGGTAGGATAAAATATTCAATATTTTCATGGTTTCCCAGTTTTAACTGTCCCTAAAAGCAGCAAAAGGAACAGGAGGAAAAGGAAACTTTTAGACTGCCAGAGAGTCTGAAATATAATAAATACTATAGTAATATTGTCTTAACAACAAAAGAAGACTACTAAGGTAATTTTTAGATTTAAATGAGAATTTTCATTCTACAGTAATGACAAAAAGGGTAAATACAAAAGGCAGTTATTAAGAAAAAACCATGAATCTTGATTCAGATATAATTTTTCTTGTAACAAGATGTGAACATTTTAATTTAAAATTAATAAATCACAATTCTGTATTGCTTTTAAGATTAAGATTATTCAAAAATGACACAGTTCAGAATTAACCAAAGTATATTTCTATTACAAGTTAGTTTATCCAAGTAAGTAAAGAATAAACCACAGTGTAGCTCCCTTAACCTAGGAGTCAGGTTTTAATGACAAAGTCCGTTGCCAGCAATGGACATGCAGGTAACCATTAGAGAAGCTGTAAATACAAACCCAAACTGCTTCTATAAACTGAAAAGATCTTTGTTGAGTCACAGGCAAAAAAACAGGGCACTGGCACTACATCCAATTAATATGGTCTCTATGATTTATGTATAGAAGTGCCTTCTAGAGTGGTCATGAGGATCACAGTCTCGTGTCATTTAGTTGGTTTTCTATTTCACTGGTAGCATCTTCTTTATTATAATCCATCCAGACAACTATTTACAAAGAATGTCCAAATCTGGAACTCAAGAGACACTGTAGCTTTCCACCAGATAAACCAGCTTTTTCTGTAATTTAGTAATAGTTGTAGAAGGTCAATATAATCCAGAGAAAAATAAAATCAACAATCAAACTGAAAACAGAGACCATTAAGTGCTCTAGATACAAAGTCCATAAATTATTTTACTTGTTTTTGTGTAACTCTCCAACATTGCATTACCAATTAAAAAAACAAAACAAAAACCAACCACCAGCCATTTCTATCCTTATACCTATATCTTAACACAAATATGGTGGGAATGATAGGAAATAAAACTCTATCAGTTCTCCTAATGCACTTCAAAACATCAAAATTATTTTTATTCACAATTCGTACTATTGCAGGATGGCAAGTAGGTGTGAAGTCAATTATGAGTGAATGGTGGGGAATAAAAAGCCAGAACCAAACCACAGATTTTTCTCTTTTACGTGGCTCTTGCCATGTCAGAAGGGAAATACTGCCTTCAAGAGTCAAACAATTGAAATGACCAGCGAAGAAGAGGACAGGAGAGGAAGGGAGAAGAGAGGGCACTCGAATAATTAATGCTACAGGTCACAGACCTTTTTTAAATCTTTAAAATAAAAACAGTATTGCTATTAACAAGCACATTTCATTATTCCTTCTTTCTCCAGTTTTTTACATGGATATTATTTACTTATTTGAAAAAAATCAAAAGTAACTCAACATCTCAAATGACTCATGAATTTACTAAGAAGTACTTTGTCACTTAAGTTCTCACAGACAGTAGAATGCTGATAATGGGTTGGGAACAATGTTTATCACAAATCTCTACAGTTTACTGGTCAGAAGCTACATCTCTAAGTAACAGACATTTCTCTTCCATTAATATAATCTTATCTAATTATTTTAGAGCTCACCAAGGTTCAAGTCTCTCACTTTGTTAACTCCAAACATTTTTCACCTTTAAATGGAAAAAAATAGTTAAGTTTTAGATTTTAAAATTCAATGGTTATTATATTATTTGCCATGGGAAGGGAGAGGGAGGAGTAGGGTGAGAGAAGTTTAATTAAAAACCAAACAAACTAGCTAAACTTACAACATATACAGAAACTTATCTCCAAAATGAAGGGGGGAAAAAGAGGGAACAGGAAAGTAGTGGCACAAAGTCCTAAAGCAAAGTCTGAGGTGGACACAGGAAGGAAAAAAAAAAGCTCTAAGAAGGTATAGTCAATGGGATTCTTTTTTTGTTTCAATGATTTAGTTATAAATATAGATTATTAGTCTTCTCTCTATACATGTAACAAATGCCAAACAACTCACTACCATGAAATTTCTAAAATTGACTCTTTCACATTTGCTAAAAAAAGGTAAAAATCACATACTTCTCTTCCCTTCAGCTCAAATTCTAAACTGAAATATTACATGTAACAACAGCTGGTTCTAACTTCTATACAAAGTCAAACCATACTGAGTTCTTCTGCCAATATAAGGAGCTACATAATTTCCATCACACTTGCCTCCAATTTAGGCATAAGAAACACTTCTCAAAGCAATTCAAAAGGAGAAAGTCAAGGAAAAAGAAAGCTATGAAGAAGAGAGAAAAGAAGACTAGCAGATAAAACAAATACTCTGAAAAACTCAAATCTGCCATTCAAGTATTGAAAACACCCCAAAAGGGACAATGAATGGGATCTATTATAATGATATCAGAAAAATAAAATGCAAATCTCAAGCATGATAAATGGCCCTGATGGGCTTTCTGCACAAAGACGTAAGGCTAGTGATTCAGTCCACAATTCCTTTTGGACCCTAAAGTTGTCATTCTGTTTTGCAATTTTTTCTTCGTTGTCTTCAGGAAGTAGTAGTTTTTTTTTTTTCTCCAGGTTATGCAGACCATTTCTTTAAACCCCAAAAGAATAATAATTTTCATATATTAAAAGACTTCTTTTAGAAAATGGAAAAAAGAATATGAGGCCACAGCAATGATGTTAACGGTTACTCTTCATTGCTTCTTTAGCTGCCATAATCAGTGGTGTCAAGCTGGATAACGGCTTGGCCAGTTTCAGGAAGGGATGCTGCCAGAAAGAGCAGGAAAAAATAAATGTGTAAATGTCACAAGTTTAGAAGCTAAATATTTTTTTTCAAGTAAGCCCTAAAGACTACTTTATAGATCATAATTTATTTAACAAATATTTCAACACCTATATAAAAATCAACATAATCAATAAACACATCACTTTTATGGCTGAAAGTGTATTCTTTTTAGTTCTTCCAGTACTATAAAAACTCAGTTAAACGATTCAGATACCCATGACTGCAATGAACTGGTGTGAGAACTGGTAATATGTAAATACTCGTGTTCTTATTCCAGTGTTATGGGTATTTTATTCCCAGCAGATAAAATCCTAAAATGCAGCAGCTGCCATGCTGCTGGTGATGAATGAACAGTGAAATATATTTATTAACCCTATGAAAACTTTCTGCTGGCTATTCAAAAAAGTCAACTTTTCCCCCAAATAGTAATATTTCCAAACTCACCTGTAACAATTCTCTGGCTGAACCCCTTTTCTCCACATCCATCTCCAAACATCGATTTAAGAAATCCCGAAATATTGGGGAAAGCTTCTCTGGATTCTGAAGTTCTGGGGTTCCATTAGTTGCTATCAGGTACAAGGCCTAAAAACACAAGAATAACTTTGACATACTTGAGACAGTTCAACAAAGTGAGAGAATACTTTAAAAGTTACTTAAAGACAACTGCCATACACACTAAAGTAAGTTCTTATTTCTACCCACGTTGGTTAAATCTTTTTAACTTTATATTTAGATGCTATAGTTCCCTGACTTCTTTTTCAAAATTATCTTCACCCTTTTTTTTTTTGGATTACAAATACACATTGGCAAAAAAAACCTACTATAATACATAAGGGTATAGAGAAAAATGATCACAATTTCACAATCAACAAATAGTATCTCATTTATCTTTCTTAAGATTTTTTTTCCAAGTTATACAACATTTTAAAACAATGAGATCTGTTGAAACCTTTCTAAAAAATTTTAAACTAGCTACATCTATATAACTATAGATGAACAGATGGAACACATAGGATTTTTAAGGCAGTGAAAATACTCTTTAAGATACTTTAATAAAGGACATATTATTCAGTATACATTTGTTCAAATCCATAGGATATACATGACATCAAGAGTGAACTCTAATATAAATTATGGAATCCGTAAGATAATGATGTGTGAATTTTAGGCCATTCTGTCAGGTCTGTAGTGCTATCTCATTTTTGTTTTAATTCATTAGCAACTCACGAATGATATGATGTTGAACATCTTTTTACATGCCTTGTTTGCCACCCATGGATCTTCTTTGATGAGTTGTCTATTCAAATCTTTTACTATTTTTACATCAGGATGTTTTCCTTGTTGAATTCTAAGAGTTGTTTGTACATTTTGGATAACACTCTTTTTATCAGATACACATTTTAGAAATATTTGGAAATATTTTCAATATTTGTGACTGGTCATTTCATTCTCTTAATAATGTCTTTCTCAGAGAAGATTATTCCAATTTTAATGAAGTCCAATTTATTATTTCATGGATCATACTTTGGATAAAGTATCAACCCAAGGTCACCTAGATATTCTACTGAATTATTTAAAGATTCTGCTGTATTACCAAAATGCCATCAAAAAAAGGATCTCAGCTGACACAAATCATCAGTATATGAGTGCGTCCATTTTCTTGTCACCGAAGTTCATTTCTCTTTACATGACATTTCCTTCCAAATTTTCATTTAAAAATTCCATTCTAAGAAATAATCTCTGAGCTAGCAGTTTTTTCAAGTTAAGATCATAACACTGTTATGAGCTTCTACACTTTCATCAAAAAGGATTAAGAGGGAAGCCCATACCTATGGTTGATTCATGTTGCTGTTTGACAGAAAACAAGGAAATTCTGAAAAGCAATTATCCTTCAATTAAAAAAATAAATAAATTTAAAAAAAAAAAGCACTTGCATTAGATACTTCTCCTCTCCAAATACTTAGTAACCTTTTCTCCATTTTAGGATAAATCTTATTATACTCCTTATCTTCATTCATATTAGTGATTATAAGCAGCCCAGGTCTCCCAGTCATTCCTCAGTTTCTCCATTCTAATACCCATTTGGTTCAGCATATTTCCCTTTCTGGGTCAAATTTTTTCATACAGTTCTCCCTGCTCCCCCTTCCCCCCCTCCCCAATACTTTTCTTTTTGAGGCCTGGCTCTTCCAGGAGAATTGGGCCTCACCCACAGTGCTCTCCACACCTCTGTACTTATACATCTGAGCCTGGAGACCAGTGTTCCTTTGGCCACTCATTGCCTCTGTGAGCTCTCTCCCTCCTATTCTGTAATTTCTGGGCTTTCAAACTCATATCTACTTTTCCTTGTTTTAAACATCTCCCAAACACTGTTATTATCTCTAACATGACTCATATTCATGGAAATTTCAGTATACAAAGATGCTTGTTACAGTTCCTAGACGTCCTCTTTGATGTTCTTGTCCGCTCACCTGCCTCAGCCACACACATTCCATGGTCACATGCTATGCCATCGGTACCAGTAACTGCAACTATTAAATCTCAGTTGTACTCCACCTCCTACCTTTTTCACTCCTAGTACCCGAATGCCAGCAATTCTTTGACTCTAATGGACTTAAATTCCCATTGATCTTCCAGTCTCTATCATCCCTTTCACAAGATCACTTCTTTGACCTTCTCACATTTCATAGTATTCACTTGGCTAAACATGGCTAAAATTCTGCCTACTTCTTGCCTATACCTATGCAGCTAAGTATGGGGGAGGAAAAAGATATACCCCTGGTACTGGCATCACTAACCTCACAGGGGCCCTTAGGGCTTCCAGCATTCACACTAGATATCCCTGTTTCACTCACTCTCCCACTCTCCTGTCTCTGTTCCAAGACACCATACATTACATTCAGTTGTCATGTGTTCTACGGCTCCTCTTGGCTAGAGCAATTCCTCAGACTTTCTTTTTAACAACTTTGATAGTTTGGAGGAGTACTGGTCAGGTTTTATATTGTATGATGCCTCTCTACTGGAATTCTTCTTTATCTTTTTCTCTCATGATTAGACCGAGATTATGGCTTCTGGGGAAGAAGATCAAAGGTAAAGAGTGCCAGGGCTTTCCTGGTGGCTCAGTGGTAAAGAATCTGCCTGGCAATGCAGGAGACACAGGTTCGGGAATATCCCTGGATAGTCTGGGAACATCCCACATGCTGCCAAGCAACTAAGCCCATGCGCCACAACTACTGAGCCTTTCCTTGAGAGCGTGGGAGCAGCCCGCGCACCCTAGAGCCTGTGCTCTGCAACGAGAGAAGCCACCGCGGTGAGAAGCCCACTCCCCACAACTAGAGAGCAGCTCCTGTTCACTGAAACTAGAGAAAAGCCTGGGCAGCAGCGAGGACCCAGCACAGACGAAAATATATAAATAGATAAACTAATTTTTAAAAAGAGTGCCACTTTCATGACAGCATATCAAAGGTATATACTATCCAGCATGATTCACCACTGAAGGTACCGAGCTGATCTAAGCCTGGTTTAGGTAACGTTTGTCAGCTTTCTCCACTGTAACGTTATTCCTTTCTCCCCCTTTTCAAACTGTGCTCCTTGGAAGGAAATTCTCTGCAGCCTACACTTAAGGAAAGGGGAGTTAGGATCCATCTCCGTTGAGGTGGAATATCTACATACTTTATTCAGAATTCTTCTGAATGGGAGATTTGTCTCTTCTGCCATATTTAATCACTTTTGTCATTTTACATACACACAGGCTCTTTCCTCCTGTCACTATTATATTTAAACAATTTTATTTTTTTAAGATACTTAGATAAGAAAAATATTGTATGTATATACCAACATAGTTACTATCTCTAGTGCTCTTCATTTCTTTTTGTGGAACCACATTATCTTTTTCTTTCTGCTTAAAAGACTTCCTTTAATATTTCTTGTAGTATAGATCCACTGGTGATAAATTCAACTTCTGTATGTCTAGAAAACCTTTATTTTACCTTAGTTTTTACAAGATTGTTAGCTGTAGATTTCTTAGTTGACTGGTTTTTTTTGTTTGTTTTAAAACTTTGTAACATGTATCGAACACATATGAGAACACCTAAAGTTGTCTCACAACTCACTGATACTATTTCATTTTTTAAGAAATTCATTTCGGTCCTTATTTTTCATATTTATTATTATATCTATGATCATTAAATCACTAATATACATTACCTGCCATTAATACAATCTCAAATTCTATAGTTACTACCTAAAAGTTAGATTTGAATTAAAAAAAAAAACTTTTAAATGTCTCTAGTTAATTCTTCTAACATCTAGAACGCAACTATTAAAATTATTTTAATGACCTTGTATATGAATTCTTTTATCTGTGTCAGTTCTGGGATGGTTTCAATAGATGGATTTTCCCCCTCATTATGGATTGTATTTTTCTGCTTTTTTAAACTGCCCAGTATACTCTGACTTGATTATTTCAGTGCTTACTGCTTTTGAACTGTGCTGCTGGAGAAGACTCTTGAGAGTCCGTTGGACTACAAGGAGATCAAACCAGTCAATCCTAAAGGAAATCAATCCTGAATATTCATTGGAAGGCCTGTTGCTGAAGCTGAAACTCCAATACTTTGGCTACCTGATGTGAAGAGCCAACTCATTAAAAAAGACCCTGATGCTGGGAAAGATTGAGGGCAGGACGAGAAGAGGATGACAGAGGACAAGATGGTTGGATGGCATCACTGACTCAATGGACATGAATTTGAGCAAGCTCCAGGAGATAATGAAGCACAAGGAAGTCTGATATGCTGCAGTCCATGGGGCTGCAAACAGCTGGACATGACTGAGTGACTAAATAACAACCAATTAACTTATAAATAAAGATGCAGCACTTCCAAAAAAAGTTGATAAGTTGAATATATCCTAAAAACTAGGATCAATGCTTAACTATGCAGCGCCTCAGGATGCAAGCCATATCTCTTCTATTGTCTGTCTATGCCCATTAGACTTGGTGACCTGATCTCAGAGCTTTAAAAAATTTTACAGCTAACAATTTTATATTTCTATCCTGGATTCCAGACTTCCACATTCAACAGCCTATTCAATATATCCACATGGACACCTGGATATCTTAACAGGCACCTCAAACCTAACATGTCCAAAACAAGTTAAAGATGCTACTTCCTGATTTGGCACCTGCCACCTCCACTTCTCTACCTGCAGTCTTCCCCATTTCAGTCAAGGAGAGCCTCAGTTTCATCACTCCAATTGCTTAGGCCAAGCTCCTAGGGGCATCTCTCCCTCTCTGTCAGGTAGGCTCTCCTTTCAAAATACATTCAGAATCCAACTACTTTTTCCAGCCTCCCCCAACACCATTCAGGTCTCAGCTATCAGCATTTCTTGCCTGGATCACTGCATCAGCCTCCTAAAGTTGGTCTTCCTGCTTCTGCCTTTGCCTCTCTTGAGAATCTCTTCTCAACAAAGTAATCCCATCAAAATCTAAGAGTGATCCTGTTAAAACATAAGGAAGATCACTTTCACCTCTCTATTCAATACTCTCCAAGAGTCTCCTTGTCTTACTTGTGCAGAAGCCAAAATTCTTACAAAGGCCTAAGGTACCACAGTTGGCTTCATGTCTTAACTGATCCACCTTTTTTCTCCTGCTGTGTACTCAACTGTAGGCTAGCTATGCTGGAATCCTTAGATCTCTGAATACATAAGAAATGCTCCTGCTTAGAGCCTTTACACATGATGGAAATGTTCTTCCCTTAAGTAACTGAGTTTCACTCTTATTTCCTATGTTCAAATGTTACCTCAGTGAAGCCTCCCCAACCACTCTTTTCAAATTGGACATTGACTCTCTGCCTACCGGTCCCAGTACTTAAGGGTCCATCATTTAACATATTACATTATTTCTATTCTAAAAATTGTCTTCCTCTCCCTTCTATAGTGGCAGAAATTTTTGTTGGTTCTTTAAGACTGTACCTTACATAGCATCTTATTGGTCTGAGTGTCTTGAGCAAGCATTCAAATCAGTGTTTGCCAAACATATGAATGAACCCGTTTGGCAGTTTTAAAAACTGTTCTGCAGTGTTTTAAAATTAATCACTTCTATATAAATACTTTAATTGCTCAGCTGAACTGGAATCTCTGCAAGAGGATGAAAAGCACTAGGAAAATGAGCATCAAAATCCAACACAATCCCGACAGAGCACCTTCTACATATACCATTTCACTGGCCTCTGTAGCTCATTTTACAGCATGTCCAACTTATTTTGAAAAAAATTTTTTTAAAATTTCTGGCAATAAGTCTGTAGTCATGTATTATATTTCAAAACTTTAAAATAATTACTTCATTGAGATGTAATTCACATCACCCTTTTAAAATGTACAACTTAAGGTCTTTAGTATATTTGCAAGACTATACAGCTATCACTAATGTCTAATTGCAGTACACTTTTATCCTTCCAAAAAGAACACTCACATGTATTACATTTCCTCCTCTCTTCAGTTCCTGTAAACCACTAATCTCCTATCTCTATGGATGTGCCTGTTCCAGAGACTTCATAGTCATTTGGTCCTCATTATTTGAGGATTCCATATAGGTGAATTTACCTGTTCACTAAAATTAATCTGTGACCCCCAAATCAATACTCTCAGTGCTTCTGTGGTCATCTATAAACATCTGCAGAGAGGTGAAAAGCAGCGTACTGTTCAGCATTCCTAAGGGTAAGAAAGCTATGATGTGCCTTATGGAGAAAATGTACTAGTTTGATAAGCTAAATTCAAGCATGAGTTACAGTGGCGATAAGTCCAACATGACTGAATCAACAATATATATTAAATAAAGTGTATTTAAACAGAAATAGATATAAAGCAAGGTGAGGTACTGATCAGCTGACAAAAATGTGATCACGGCAAGCAGAAACCTAGCCCTATACTTCCTCTAGAAGCAACGGTTCAGTATTTGTTAATTCAGTGTTTGCTGTTTTATAGAACCTAACTACCACAAATGAGGAATCAATCAACTGTAAAGGGAATCCGACAATATGTAATCTTTTATGGCTGACTTCTTTCACTTATCATAATGCCTTCAAGGTTCAATGCAGCATGCATCTGTACATCTTTCCCTTTATTAAAGCTAAATAACATCCCACTGTGTGGACATACTACTTCTGTTTATTCACTCAGCAGGTAACAGACATCTGGGTTGTTTCCACCTTTTGGCTATTATGAATAATGCTGCTATGAACATTTGTGGACAAGTTCTTGGGTGAATATATACTTTTATTTCTCTTGGTTATTCAGCTAGCAGAGGAATTGCCAAGTTACATGGTAACTCAATGTCAATTTTTAAAGAAACTGTTGAACTGTTTTCCAAAGTGCTATACAATTTTACATTCCCACTAGCAATGCATGAGTGTTCCAATTTCTCCAGATACTCACCAATACTTATAATTTTCTGCCTTTTTTATTACAGTCATTCTAGTAGGCACGAAGTGATCTTATTGAGGTTCTGATTTGCATTTCCTTAATAACTACTGATATGGAGTTATATACAGTAATGTGAAAGAGGGGAGGGAAGGTAGGAGGAAGAGAAGGAAGGGAGAAAAGGAGGAAGGCAGGAAGGAATGGAAAGAAAAAAGAGAGAAAGAGGAAAGTTGGAACTCTACCTCAGCTGCTGGAACATGAAACCGTTTAAAGTCTACTGCCTTCATCTGTTTCTGGGGACCCTCACTCTTTTGTCTGAACGTGGGCTTTACCACTGCCATCTACCCAGCCTTCTCACAGATGGGATCCTGCTTCCCTCTTTGTACCTGGGGGTACAGAGGCCAAAGTTCAAAGTCAAACCTGAAGGTCATATCTAGAGTCTCTTAATTCTACAGAAAACTGAGCAAATCCTTATTTATGTGCAAATTTAGAAATACAGCTTATCAAAAAATTACAAACTCTTTAACCTAACACATTCAACTCAGTAACTCAGAAGCAAATAGTTTTTAGATACAGAGTGAGAGAAGAGACTGGGTTTTTTTGTTTTTAATCAATTTTGTATCCTAAATCCTTGGCCAGTGCCTAGCACATGCAAGTTCTAAATTAATGATTTTTTAAAAAGTTATTTTTCTGAAAGTAAGGTTAGTGTTTAACTGGTCTTACCCTCAAAGGATTTTCATTGAGGTATGGAGGCTCTCCTTCTACCATCTCAATAGCCATGATACCCAGAGACCAGATGTCTACTTTGGGGCCATAAGCTTTCCGTGTAACCACCTCTGGTGCCATCCAGTATGGCGTTCCAACCATGGTACTCCGCTTACTCTGCTCAGGGGTGATCTGGGCGCAGAAACCAAAGTCAGCTACAAAACAAAAAAAAAAAACCAAAACATCTTGAGTTAATGGTGTCCATGGGTTGTTTTAGGAGTTTACTTTATATGACTTAACGAATTATATTTTCAGTATTCAATCTCTTAGTTTTTAAGAATGTATTAATAAAGTAAACGAGAATGGGCTTCCAGATATTTTGATGTTATACACTCTCACTTTTTAACTTTTACTTCCCAAAACAAGAAGGTAAATTATTAGGAAGGTTTTTATTCTAAACAATTAATTTTATCCTAAAACTTTTAATAAAGCTGAAAAAGATCTAAAGAAAAAGTTACCAAAGCTGGACACCAAAACTGTGTCCACTGTCAATCAGGTAAAGGTCAGGAAGTGGACATTACTTTTGAAGAAGAAAAACAGAAGCTAGAATTAATAAGAAGCATATGAGTCAGCAAGAGAGCCCAGAAAAAGAACACATTTAACTGCAACTGTACCCACAAGGTCTTCACCAGCATTACTCTATTCCAACTACCTCATTTTATAACTGAGGAGCAGGATACCTAATTTAGAACCCAGCATTAATTCAGTAGGAAAGTCAACATAAGAATCTAGAACCGTTTCCTTCCTTCTACTGTTAAAACTCATTCTACTCCATGTGTAAATACTGTTAACATTTAGGACTGTAAGTTCTGAACTTTTGTTATGCATTTCCAAATATACAAAAAATATCTACAACTGGTGGTTTATTTTACTTAAATATTTTACTTAGGATACTTTGTAAATTGCTTTTTAAAACTATTTTTAGAGATCTTTCTGTATTACTATATTAATCTACCTTATTATTGTAACTACACAACTTTACAGAACATAAAAACACCATAATGTATTTAACCATTTCTGTACTACTAGATTATTTTAGATATTGTTGGGTTTTCTTTACAAGGTTGCAGAGAACATTTTTGTACTTATTGCTGTGCATATGTTCAGCAATTCTATAGCAGACAGTCTTAAAAAAGTAATTGTTAGGTCAAATTATAACATTTATAGCTAAAATGAGTGCTTATAAAACTGTTTCAAGTACCTCATAAGAAAAAACATACCACATTATAACTTTATGATAGGTACATTTATTATTATGACTTCCATTTTACAAATGGGGAAACTGAGGCACACCAAGATCATTCATCTAGTGAGTAGCAGAGCCAGGGTAAAATATTATCCCAAAAGGTCAAATTTAGTTTACCTGTGTATCCACCAAAAATGTATGAGAATATCAATTTCTAGCTTTCCCACTAAAATTACAATTACTAACTATATATTTTGACCATCAAATAGAAACTAAATCCTCATTCTTGCAGTTGAATAACCTCTGAAGGATTTTTTCTCCCCCACTTTTTGGCTGGACTACAGAGCTTATGGGATCTTAGTTCCCCAACCAGGGATTGAACTCACACCCCCTACATTGAAAGTGCAGAGTCTTAACCACTGGACCATCAGGGAAGGCCCTGAAGAATCTATTTTAAAATAGATGTTGAAAAAGGAGCCAAATTCTCTAGGCAAACAGAAGAAATAGTTTTTGGTCTCCTGATCCAAGAAATGTCTTGCATTTTGCATAGCTGGAGAAACCTCAGTAGAAGTTCTTGAATCCTCCAGAGAGCATGATTGAAACTGAGATTATAGCCAGCAGAGGAAGAGAGTTTCTTTTTCCCCCTTGACTCTATCATGTCTGATACAGAAGACAATTAGGGAAAGGGGTTTACAAACGATTTTCTCCCTAAAAATGTCATTTCTGATGTCTGGGTCACACAGGCCTCTCCTAATTAGACCACCATCTACCAAATTCAAAGAAAGACAAATGAGCATAATGAGAAAAATCTACCCCAACAGGCAGCAGAGACAAATTCAAGTTTATGTTTGGAAGACAGCACCAACATTACAATAGTACCAGGCACTGCTCCTCAGTGTTTTACATTTTTAGTACTCAGAAGAATTCTCTGAGATAGGTACTATTATTTTCCTTATCATACAAATGAGGAAACAAACAGATTACATAATTTCACTCAAAATTATTCAGCAAGTAGTAGCAGATCCACTATTTTAAACTCAAGTTGTCCAGCTGATGGTTCATATTTTTTTACTACTATTCTCCCCGACTCCATGTATTGTCATAAAAATGTTAATAGCAAGAAAGAGTTTTTACTTAAACAAAAGGCAGAAAATTATAAATAACATACAAATGTTATCTGTTCACTTGTTACTCACTAAGTTTAACAGATCCTTCCATGCCCAAAAGCACATTGTCACTTTTGATGTCTCTGTGGATCACTTGATTAGCATGTAAAAACTCCAATGCCTGTAAACACTGAACAGAAAAAAAAACACCTATCAATGAAATAGTCCCTGAAAAGTCTAAGGGAAGTTCATATACACTATTTATCTGAGTACCACCTCTAGTATCTAGCAGAAGACACTCTAATAATACATTTACAGAGAAAAAAATTCTGTCACATGCAAAGTTACAAAAATAAGACACCTTAAATAATTAGATACTACTCTTCCTACTCTGGTCTTATCCAGAAACAACTATTAAATAATGTCTTATCTAGTCTTATTTCTGCCACAGGTTATTTAATACCATAAGAATATCACTCTTCAATGTTGTCATTTATGAAATGAATGGGTGGGTCAATATGATTTCTAGGCCTGTTTAGGTTGAAATTTAAATATCTAAAGGTACACAGCACTTGGTAAACATGCACAAGGCTTTTGAGATATCATTTCAACAGTAATGGGGACTTCCCAGGTAGTTCACTGGTAAAGAATCCACATGCCAAAGCAGGAGCCACACAAAATGAGGGTTCGACCCCTGGGTCGGGAAGATCCTCTAGAGGAGGAAATGGCAACCCATTCCCGTATTCTCTCCTAGAGAATTTTAAGGAGAGAGGAGCCTGACAGGCCACAGTCCATGGGGTTGCAAAGAATCGGACATGACTGAGTGACTAACACTTTCACTTTTCAACAGTAAAGGATAAACTCATAATCATTCCTATCTGAATCTGAGATACTCAGAAGTCTAATCAATATAAGACATTGGGTAGTCTGGATCTCTCCAGTTCTTCAGTGTGATGTAAAATGTTTTCTTCCTTTCTTCTATGGTAGGTTTTACATAAAGCTATATCCATATCCTAGATACTATGCCATATTTCAGAAAGCACTGAGTCAAAAGAGCAGAAAAAGTACTCTCACTTCCTTAAAAACAGAATGAGATTAAATTTTTAAAATCTGCTTGCTATGTTTTTTTTAATGTAAACCACATATAAATTGTAACTTGGAAAAAGTTGTTTTTATTTCTTACCCGCATTAAAGTAGAACAAAAAATAAAGTCTGTACATCTTTACAACTAAAAATCTCTTTCAAAACACTGCACTACTCAAAGAAAAAAACTAGATTAACTGTATATTACTGCATCACATCTACCAAGCATTTAAGCAGATTTCTGAAAAGAATAAATCCCCAGAAAAATACTTGTAGGAATAAATAGAGGAACTCTTAAAATAACTTTATACCAATTATGAAAAAAATTATTAGAAAAATTAAGTATAAAAAAATTCTTGTTTTTATCAACTTTTAAGTGACAAAACATTCTTCGTTTTTTCAAACATTCATTGTTAAGGGATATATTATTAAACTATCATATTTAAAACTATTAAAAAGTTCTTATTTCCATCCTTCCAGAAACAATCAGGAAGATTATCCATTGAATGAAGCATAATTACACCAGAATTAAAATCTTTGAAGAATACTTTTTTTAAAAAAATGCCAAATAAAAGATGAAAAAAGAAAAACATCACATATATTGTTCTTACATGAACAAAGGTTATAATTTACTTATAATTCAGTGTAAAAATGAGGGAAGCCAAATCATAAGTAAATTATAATTCAGTGTAAAAATGAGGGAAGCCAAATCACAGGAAACATAACAGTTGTAAGAATTGTCACAATTTCACCCTTTGTGACAATGATTCCTAGGATTCGAAGTAGTGTCTCAGTTTTAACGACAATAGGCAAATCATTAACCCAAGTTTCATCTATAGGAAAAAGATTACATGGAAGAAAGAAAGGCTCATTTTTGGCTTAGATGCAGGCAATGTGACAGAATTCTACTGGCCTAAACAAACAGTGTGTCTCAAAGTTCATTAATGAGTATCATTTAAAACCACAAGCAGACGCATTAATTAACACCCAGGGAAAAGATGTGTACCACTTTGTCCTTGTTTCCACTGTCGAGTGGGGTGTTTTTAATGGCACCCCCTCTTACCCTCAAAAGTACCCTACTTGAATAAATATTTCCCCTTTTCCAACTCTGTTAACCACATGTTACTGTAACTTATCAAAAAAGGAGCCAACTCACCTCTCTGCACACAGCAGCTATCTGCGCTTCATCCATGCATGTCTCTGTTACAACATCAGTAAGTGATCCTCCAGCTAGGTACTCCATGACCACAAACAATTCATCTCCCACCAGGTAACTAAAAAAGAACATACAAAGTACATCCACACTTTCACTTTTTCTAAATACATGGCACTCTATATTGAAGATTTCAATTATTAGACACCCTGATTAAAAACACCCAGAAAGCTGGTAGCTTTGAGAGCTAGGAAGAACACTGAAAAGCTGCTTTGTAACAGCACAGAAAAACAACAGAAGGTCATTATGATTTTCCTAAATTACTTTAAAATCTGTCCACAATTCTATCCTGAGTGTATACATAGATTATTCCAATTAAAATAACCCTGTATGGTATGAATTTCCAGATGATGGAGGCCTCCAGAAGATGGAGACCTGGAAAGGTTAGGTAACTCATACAAGGTCACATAGCCAGTAAGTGACAGAACCAGAGTCTGAAACTAAGCACAACTGGTTCCAAAGCTTGTGGCTTATCTTAACCACCCATGCTTTACTGACTTGAAATACTATTTTAAAAAGCAGAGCAATGTACCTGAGACATGGTCTCCAGAGGTAGGCCTAAAGTCTACAAGTATGTTTTTGCTTAATCCATTCAAAACAAATTTAAATACGGAAATTAAAAAAAGTCACCTATAATTCCCTATCTCCAATACAATCACTACTGTAATTCTCACGTATTTTTCTATTATTTTTCTTTCATTCACATAGACATCCTGCTTTAAAAACAAATCTGTTGTAAGGGAATTTCCTGTTGGCCCAGTGATCAGGACTTTGTACTCTCACTGCCAACCCGTGGGCAGGGAACTAAAATCCCATATGCTGCATGGTGTGGCCAAAAACAAAAAAGGTTATAAAATACATAATTTTCTCTTCTACTTTTTGTTCTGTTATTTAACATCAATTCCTAAATTATATGAGGTTTTGATAAACATGTTATTTTCCCAAGACAAAATATGAAATAAAATTGACCTGAAAGTTTAAAAATTGAGTGGCCAATCACCTCTGTATCAAGACATGAATCACAACCAATCTTTCCTTAGTGTTTCTGCTCCTGATCATTTGTACTTATTATGAGCACTAGTAGCAATGTCCTTCATTTAACTGCCTTCTCTTGATTGCCAACTGATACCTAAGTAGAAAAGGGACCTTCTAAACTGTAACATGGGCTTCCCTGGTGGCTCAGTTGGTAAAGAATCCACCAGCAATGAGGGAACCCTGGGTTCAGTCCCTGGGTTAGGAAGATCCCCTGGAGGAGGGCATGGAGACCAACCCCAGTGTTCTTGCCTGGAGAATCCTCAAGGACAGAGGAGCCTAGAGGGCTACAGTCCATGGGGTCGCAAAGAGTCGGACACGACTCGCTGACTAAGAGCACAAACTGTAACATGCTAGTTTCACCTCTCTCCCTACTTTGAGTTTACTTTTCAGTGTTGACACTCAACCCTGGCCTGGCTAATCTCCAAAACCATTTTTCTCCCAATGTTTAAGAAATATTTCTATTTACCTGTCCAAGAAATTAACTATGTTGGGATTCTTTAATTCTTTCATCACCAGAATCTCATTAATGATCAATTCCTTCTTTGGCTGTTTCTGTAAATTAATCTGCTTAATAGCAACCTATGATGGAAACAGGAAAAAAATCAGAAAAGTTTCCTAATTCTCTTAGAAAATCATAAACACTAGTAAGTTAATCATCTAATTTACTACAGACATCCTATACAGTGAGATTATAATTTACTCATGGGCAGTACTTTAATTTCCACACTGTCTATGCACAATTCTTTGTAATACAGAAGCCCCAGTATTTTCAGATTTCTCTTGAAATCTAAACCCAAGGTCAGTCTAGTGCCAGGAATTAATCCTCTTTTCATCCAAACCGGGAAAATAGTTTTTAAAATGTTTATTTATGAAACTAAACACATAATTATTTCTTCTTTCCCCTCAATAGGAAGATACTATAAAATTATCTAGAGTAATCCTTCAACATATTCAACTGAAAAAAATTCCTCATTGATTATTCACAGGCAGATCCAGGTTCTTCCTAGAGTAAAAGCTAGTGGTACGCCCAGAAGTATGACAAAGTTGCTAACCTCTTGTCCCAATGCCACATCAGTAGCAGTGAAAACTGTGCCAGAGGCCCTAGAGAAAAAAAAGACACAAGCAGATTTAAGATTTCTAAATCATTCTCATTTATAACATCCAAAGACTTTATACTCAAAACAACTGAAAGGGGGTTAAAGAACACCGAAGACGGAACATCTTTAAAAAAAGTAAAAGCAAAAACAAAGGGGGGAAGAGTAAGAAAAAGAGGTAATCCTTGTGGCCAAAACTTATGCCAGAAATTTGTCATAAATTTCAGACCTACAAAAATACAGAAAAAAGATCAGACAAAAAGAAAACAGTAACATATACTCATGGATTTATTTCCCTGCTTAAGAAACAAAAGAACTACAAACAAATTTAAAGGTTCTTATGTGGCCTTTCCAAAGGCATCCTCCCTCTTCCCCAAAGTAATCTGCGTTGTACATTCACTCTGTATTTGATGTGCATAATCTCCACGTTTCTCTATACTTTACTAAGGACACAGGTGTGTACCACTACGGAAGACATTTAACATATTTTTAAAACTTCATATAAATGATTTCATTTTATGTATTTTCCTATAATTTGCTTTACTGATTCAACACTGAATTGAGGGCTATAGTCTATGGGGTTGCAGAGTCAGACATGACTGAGCAACTAACACTTTCACTTTTTCTTTTTTTTCACTTTCACTTTTTCATACCACTATTTATTTATCCATTATTAGGCTCAAGGATACTAACATGATTATCAATTTTTTTGTTATTAAAACCAGAGGTGCAATTAAATTTTACTTTTAAAAGGAAATTCATAAAAGTTTTCAAAAAGACTTAAGCTCACTCTCAAAATTCACAGAATAATTTCCAGAGTATTAACATTAAGAATTCAAGATGTTCATCTGCTCTCTAGCAAAAGAAAAGAAAGATTTCAGTTAGCATAGTTTTAAAACCCCAATTATTGGGAATTCCCTGAGGGGCCAGTGGTTAGAACTCTGAGCTCCACTGTGGGAGACCTGGATTTGATCCCTGGTCAGAGAACTAACTTATGACTTATCCATAAGTCATGTGGCATGGCCATAAAATAAAGAAATAAATAGTAATTTTTAAAAATGCAAACTATTGAACAAAATCAGGACAGTAGAATTAAAGATCCATACTCCTGATGTGACTAAAATGCATTTAAACAAAGAAAACACTATAAACTTGAAGTAAATTTTCTTACTCTCCTTTAAATATTTCGTGGACAATTTTCCCACCCATCTAATCTCTTACCACCAATGTGAAATCACACTTAAGAAGCAGCAATGTACAATCACTGCTAAGTAGTACAGTATTTTAATAGCATCAAGAAATAAGTTCAATACTTTTACACAAATCCAAGAATGCTACTCAGAGAATACCTTAAGTGTTCAATGTCAGTAGGCAAAAGAGATATCAAGCTGGACATCAAGAAAACATGAATATTCTGGTAATACAGTCACAAATACTTACCCTTGCCCAATTTTTTCATATCTTGTGTATTTTTTCTTAGGGTCACCTATGCTTACAATAGTTCCTATTTTAAACAAAAACAACAAAAATTTGGAAAGTCAGTCAAGCATTTTAAAATTGTAAACTAACTCTGATAACATTATTTCTTTTAATAAACTCCACTGATTTTAGAACATACATAACACTAAGTTTTAAAAATAATGTATGCTTCAAACACAAGAAATAAGCAATAAAAATAAAAAAGTACTGGAAGCAAGAAGATGCATTATTTCCACTAGGTTAGACCTCCTAATGTCTTGATTATCCTACCACTTTCTAAAAAATGACGACATTACAGAATGACCAACTATACTAGTTTTCCTGAGACTCAGGGGGTTCTTAGGATGTGGCATGTTAAATTTTAAAACTTAACCGGAAAAAAAAAAAACTTAACCGGTCAATTCCTGGGGAGAGGACAAGTTGGTCATCCTACTTTTCATACTCCACTGAAATGTATCAACATTAAACTAACGGTAAGTTATAAAACTACTTACTATAAGAAAAATATACATATAAAATATCCAAATGAAAAACCCTAATAGCTTTTCTAATTCTTCTCCTATATCTATCTTTCAATATATTTAGTAAATCACTTATTGCTATAAAGATTACTCTAATATAAACTAATCATACATCTGTTTAAGAAAAGTTCACAAAGCCACAACTAAGAAACAGGTTTTAAAATTAAATTTAAATTAAAACAGGATTTAGTTTTAAAAAAAAATGGTATGATTTTGTACATAAAATCCTAACATAGTCTTGTTACAAGTAAGTCCAAGCATGAGAAAAATCACACTAAATTTTCACTTAAACTTTCACAAGGTAAAAGGAGAGAGGGGCATATCAAAGAAATTCATAGAAATAAACCAATTTTATATAGGTACTCAGCCTCAAGCCTATAGCCAATCTGTAATATTTTTTCTTGATGCCTCTAGGTCAGTGTCTTTTATAACTGTAGTGGCTATAGACTTGTAATGAGATACTACTGCTAGCCTCTCTCTGGCCTGCATGTATTATTCCGGGGCTTGATCCAGGCCAATGATAGTTGATGGATGAAAATGGAAGAAAAACACATTTTATGCTTATACATATTATCTAGATAGGACATTTGGTTTATTCATTTAGGGACATTTTGTATTCTACAGGTGTGCATAAATACATACAAACTTCCTTTGATAAAGTTTCCAATTAGGACCCTTAGATTTGGCCCTCTGAGAAGTACTGCTCCCCAAAATACTGACTATTGCAAAGACGCTGCTCACGAGTCGGCACATAATAATAAGCAGGCAAAGAAGAGCATTATTTTGGCTTTACGACATTACCTGAAGCTGTTGTTCCTAGGAGAAAACAATTTAAGCCAAAATATAAGGTATAAATTAAGACCCATCCAGGCCAAATGTTTCAGGGGCTGTTAACAATTTAGGAATAATGTATATTACTCAGCCATTAAAAAGAATTCATTTGAATCAGTTCTAATGAGATGGATGAAACTGGAGCCCATTATACAGAGTGAAGTAAGCCAGAAAGATAAAGAACATTACCGCATACTAACACATATATATGGAATTTTAAAAGATGGTAACGATAACCCTATAGGCAAAACAGAAAAAGAGACACAGATGTACAGAACAGACTTTTAGACTCTGTGGGAGAAGGCAAAGGTGGGATGTTCTGAGAGAATAGCATTGAAACAAGTATACTATCAAGGGTGAAATGGATCACCAGCCCAGGTTGTATGCATGAGACAAGTGCTCAGGGCTGGTGCACTGGGAGGACCCAGAGGGATGGGATGGGGCGGGAGGCGAGAGGGGGGATCAGGATGGGGAACACATGTAAATCCATGGCTGATTCATGTCAATGTATGGCAAAAACCACTATAATAATGTAAAGTAATTAGCCCCCAACTAATAAAAATAAATGGAAAAAAAAATAAAAGAATAATGTAAAATGTAGGCAACATACTTAATTTCTCCATAATCTCTTCATCTGTCATTTTGGCCTTCTTTTTCTGTTTGTCTGAAGTCTTGGCACCACCATCAACATTAGAATCACCAACTGGTGCAGGAATAGGATCAATTACAGATCGTGTATAAATCTGCAGAGAAACAGTTAATTACTAAGACTTGGAAGAAAAATATTTTTAGGTATTCTTAACTGGCACACTATTCAATTCTTTGATTTTTGACAAAAACTAAGCTGTTTTCAGTGTTCTAAAGAATGAGAGTAATACTTTCAGACTTGTTTTACCAAAGACTGGTAACTAAGAGCCAATGTGAAACATTTTTCTTAGGAACATCATATACATATGTTAAAAGTTTGTATAGCAAAACAGAAGATCTGTAAATGAAATTTAAGTGCAGTCAGATCAAAAATAATGTGCCAGAAATGAAGCAGAAATAAATACAACTTTAACAATCATATTTTTCTACAAGAGAGAAATAAAGAGCAAAATAATGGGAATCCTGATGTTGCAACGTGGAAGTGTCAGTCACTCAGTCATGTCTGACTCTTTGCAACCCCAAGTACTATAGCCCCCGGGGCTCCTCTGGCCATGGAATTCTCCAGGCAAGGATACTGGAGTGGGTTGCCATTTCCTTCTCCAGGGGAGCTTCCCGATCCAGGGATGAACCCAGTGTCCTGCGATGTAGGCAGATTCTCTTCTGTCTGAGCCACCAGGGAAGCCTAACTATGATTAATTTCCACAAAAATGTTTACACAAATATAATTTCTATCACTTCATTTCAAACAGTCAATTCTAAATGGTACAGAAAATGGAGCCCTCTATCGATGAGGACCCAGTGGCAGTCAGTTTTAAACCTGCTTACTGTGCCAACACCTCACCATGCTCCGCTGGCTTTATCCCTGTTAGTATAGGGAGCAGGACAGGACTCTTGCTGTCTCTGTCTAACGTTGTTATTGTTAAAATTCTCCCATGTCTGTTAGAAATTTCACTCCTGGCAGCCTCCTGAATGATATTAATGTTTTAATAGAAATGTTAAATGGGAGATAAAATACATGCTTTGGATAAGAGCTAAGATCCAAGTTCTAGACTTAGTACTTTTCTGCACTGAGATAAACAGAGAAAGGCAGAGAAACAGATGAGTTCTCTGGAAGAGACGGTGTAATGCAGAAAGAAAACACGATATGCATTTTAACTTTCAAAGACCCATTCAATTTTAATTTTCAAAAAAACTAGTTTTTTGATAAATGGTATTTAGGTAAAGATCTCCTAGTCAAATCCCCCATATTAAAATATTTTTAGCAGGAGGACTTTTTAAAAATCATGCATGCATGTATGCTCAGCCATGTCTGACTATTTGTGACCCTGTGGACTGTAGCCCATCAGGCTCCTCTGTCTGCGATATTTCTCAGGCAAGAATACTGGAGTGGGTTGCCATTTACTTCTCCAGGAAATCTTCCTGACCCACAGATCGAACCTGCATCTCCTGCATTGGCAGGTGGATTCTTTACCACTGAGGCCAACTGGGAAACCCTTTAAAAAGTCACTGGAAATCAAATACAGACTGCTGTTTTTTAAAACTCACATGCACAGACATACAACCCAGTTCATTAATCAGAAACTCACTGATTTTGTATGATCTGGTCGTGGGGCAATAACAGGAGGAGGAGTCTCTTCATCATCGTCATCTTCCTCTGTTACTACTGCTGATGTTTCCGATCCCTTGGTATTCAGCTGCATTTATCACATAAGTAAAGTAAGGGAGACAAGTCAAACGTAACAACAGATGAAAATACAACTACCTCTTTTTTTAACATACTTGGAAATACATTTACTAGCTCATTTCAAAGCAGTAAAACCTTACTGGTTCTAATCTAATCATTTTAAAAGGTAATTCTATACATTACAGAAAAGTTTATGACACAAATGTATACAGTAAATACCAAGTATTCTTAAGAGAGAATACTATATAGAGAATTTTACACCCTTTAAGCAAGCCCAAAAATTAACAATCACTTCATTAGTTAATACCAAAACCAAAAATCCCCTGGGCTTTGTATAAGTCAGAGTTTTTCAGTTATTTAAAACAGCCAGATTCACCAGAAAGTGTTGGCTAACAAAGCAAAAGAGCAAGGCATTACCCTTTAAACAGAGTGTATTATTTGCCAGGTGGATGCTAGGTATGGATTTTACATGTTATTACATATAGTTTTCAAATAACTCCAGGAGACGGTTTCCTCCTAACTGAGGAACTGAAAATAAAACAGCTATTATTTGCAGGAGGTGTTTGTGTTTACATGGTAACTTAGATGAAGTTTCTGACAACTCTGAAGATTCTGACAGGCTTCTGATTGCTTGGTATATTTCCATAGTCTAGATTCGGTAAGATGGTGCCAGAGGAAAACACTGGCAAGTTCTTTGTATTCATGGTTATACATGAAAACATTATCAAATGTAACTAAATTGCTCTAATGATCATAAGTTTTAGTTACTTTAAGCATCATCAGAGGAAATTCTATTTGCTTAACACGGCTTCTTCAACTAATCAAGTACCCATCTAAAAGCATATATCAAGTAGTTATTTCTGAAGGCTGTAATTTATTTTGGAAAGTAAAATAAAAACTAAGATTTGTTCTGGGTAACTTAAAACAAGAGCTATAAGAAATAACATATTAACTTACTGCTGGTGTTCCAGAAGGGAAGCCATCTTTCTCTGAATACAAAAGAGAAAATAAAGCTAAGTGAACAATTCAAAAAATAAAACGACTTTTACACAATAAAGGAAGAAAAGACAAAAGCAAAGCAAGTGAAACGTTCTTACATTGATATAATTTTGAGTTGAATTAAAACTTAAGAAAAACAATATCAGTTTTTAAATAAGAATTTACACAAGACCATAAACCTCAAATTTAATAGAACTCTGTAAATTTTCTAAAAGTCACTGAATTGCAAACATCAAGTGGGTGAATTTTAGAGCATAAAATTATACCTTAATAAAAAATTTTATTGGAAATTACCTATATTTATTAAAATAAAACAGAAGTTTATTCATGATATTTTTCGCCAGCAAACTGCCTATCAAGGAACTTAGAGAAACCAACAGTAACTGTATAAAGGAAAATTATTGACATAAATTTTGATCAATATGAAAGCAAATCCCTGAAGGCAAAACCACAGTTCATGAAGACTAAATACCCCAATATTCATTCTGGAGTTAGAACAGCAAATTTTGTATTATCCTTTAAAATGCCCAGACACACAAACACACAAACATACCATTTTCTGTTCAGACACCGATTTTAAATAATTATTCATTTATACATTATTCATTTAACTGCATTTACTAATTGCAGTTGGGAATAAATCTGACCTTTTGCTAAGGATGTACTACTAGACTACATAAAAAATGTCTAAATTTGCCAAGTGGACCTTATTGGTTCTGAAAGGATACAATCAAATAAGTACAATCAATTAAAACTAAATGTATAATATTAGCTCAATCATATTATTTCTTAAAACTACATGTATGACTTAAAAGGGCAAAGAAACATATTAAATAATAACCCATGATATAATTAGCAAAATCCACACTGAGGGAAAACAGGACAAATGATTCTTTAACAAATAAACTGCAAGGAAAAGACAGCTTGAGTGCTAACATGAGGGCAGGAAGCCTACAAAACAAAGAGATTCAAAAGTCACAATAATCGACTGTAATGTATGGATTTTTTTTCTAGTCCTTATTTGAACAAATGAACTTAAAAAAAAAACCACTATTCTCCAATTCCTACCTGATGATACTTCAATTCTGAGGAATAAATTCTTTGAGTTCCAAAGCTTATATTTATACATATGATGCATTTCAATTTTTGAGTGGAAAACATTTTTTACTTCAAAGTCTGTGCATTTATATACAGTAAAATAACCTGTCCCACTAGCAATAAATATATTTCTAGTTTGAACATGTCTGTAAATCAGCCTCTTTCCCATCTGTTGCTGGAACTCATTCAAAAGCAGTGAAGAGAAAAAACAAATAAACAAAAGGTCAAAATATCCACTTTTGGCAAAACTAAGAGATTAATATAATCTCCAGACTCCAAATTATACATAAGAGCTGACCCCATTGGTTTTAAAAGGCAGATCTATGCTGGGGAAAAAGTAGAGACAACCACCATAGCTTAGCTCTTATCTTTACAGAAGCAATCTTTTTATCTAGAAGTGCTCCATAACTCTGCAATCCCAGTTAAGTGAGCCTGTTACCATGATCTGATGTCTTACCAGGAGGAGTAAAGCTCAGATATTTCTGCTTCACTGTATTAGAGTCATAGAACTTCAAGACGTCTAGCACTGCCTGAGGATTCTTCTTTTGCTCTAGTTTGGTGATGTTGGAGGTCTGCAGTAATCGAGCCCACTGCTCTGGCATGCCCTAACAAAAAGATATTCAGAAATTAGTTGTTTTGAATTGCTTTAAGACCAATTTCCAGAAGAAAGTGACAAAATATATAAAACAAATCAACCTACACAATTGCAAGTTTGACTAAATTCTCAAAGGTCTAGTTTTCTAAATCTATGATGCAAATTATAATCAAGAGCCTCAGCTCCCTAGGAAAAGGACATATCCAACCACAAACACTTCTGTACAAAGAGAAGAGCACTAAGAATTCACAGTTTACATGTGGACAGAAAAGAATACTTGAAGGAAAAGTTTGAGCTCTGCTTTATAAATGCATTTCACTTAGGTAAACTTACAGTGAATTCTCCAGTAACAGCATCAAAGCCAACATGGATGGTGTGCTCAAAATCAGACGGAGGAGAAATTTCTGGCCTTTCCTTCTCTTTCTTCTTACTTCCTAGAAGGCATTTAAAAAGAGCCTTTTAAAAGGTAATCATGTTTATAGTTTTCCCAAAACAGACTAGGAAGGAAATTATTCTAAGAAAGACATTTTCCCTAAAAACACTGGCTGATAGGAAACTGATAAATCAAGTACAGAAATCTCATGGGGGTGGGGTAGAGTGGGTGGAGGGGGGAGGGAGTAGGAGGAGGTGAAGGGTATTGTCACCAGTGTCCTGATTAGAGGCACACAGACTGACCCAACAACAGGCCTGAATAAAAATGCTCAGGACAGAAGAGACAGTCCCTTAGAATACTGGTTCTCTCATTAATAAAGAAGGACACTTCACATACTGAACAATTTGGAAAACAAAGCCTATCAAGCCCTATTTCTGTATTTATCTAGAAAGAACAATTTACATTACTATGATTATGGATAACATACACCATGTGAACAGGTAGTTTACAAGGACAATGTCATTTTTTTTGCACATTTCTCTTCCTTTTTATTGATGTTAGTAACTGTTACATTTTAAGATTTCCCAGTTTTTCTATGGTTCTATCAATTATTTTTACAACATTTCTGCCACACACCCATCTCTGTAAATTCAAACACATCAGTTCCGTATTTTTCCCCCACCTAACCACCTTGCTCTCAGATTCTCTTACTTAATCTGCAGCAATTTATGTCAAGACTTCTGGCAGAGCTTTTAGTCCCAGGTCATTCCTTCACTTTTATGCTGCACTAGAATCGACTTTTTGTATTCTATGTTCTCTTCTTCTTGGTCTACACCCTTGTTTTAACTGATAGCTCTCGACTAATTGTATATGTATTTAGATCGAAAATACGACCCTCCTCTGAATTTCTTCTAATTTTCAGTGTTGCTATTTAGGCCAGTGCCACTTTCTCATTCTGAACTACCGCTGAAAATCAACTGATTATATATATACACAGGTATATTCCTAGATGTTCAACTCTGTTGCAATAATCTTTACCTTATATCAAGCAGACTGGATTATTGTAGTTTTATAATAAGCATTGGAACTATTAATATATAGTATAAGCCTTTTCTTTTTTAAAAAATTATTTGGTTCCATTCTAGGTCTTTTGCATTTCCATGTGAATTTTAGAGTACGTTTGATAATTTCTTTAAAAAGTCTGCCGGGATTCTGATTGAGACTACACTGAATCTATAGATCATTTTAGGAAGAACTGATTAAATAACAATATTGTATCTTCTAATCCATGAAAGTAGTGACTCTCTCCATTTATTCAGGTCTTTTTTCATTCCTCTCAGCAATGTTTTATAGTTATCAATGTACAGATCTGTTACTGCTTTTGTCTGATTTCTGGCACAGTATTTCAAAAAGTCTCATCCTATTGCAAATGGTACAGTTCTTTAAATTTTGATTTTCAGTTGTTCATTGATGGCATAGGAAAACACAATTGATTCTTAAAAACTGATCTTGTATCCTGAAACCTTACTAAGAAACCTTACTTTTGTTCTAGTAGCATTTTTGTAGCTCATCACAGGATTACCTAAAAAAATTCAATTATGCTGCTAATGAATAAAGACAGGTTTACTTCTTCCTTCCCACTCTGGACTCCTTTCATTCCTTTTTCTTGCCTTGTTGCACTGGCTAGAACCTTTAGTACACTGCTGAATAAAAGTGAAAGGGAAATCTCTGCATCTTTCCTGATCTTAGGAAAAGTTATTAATTTTACCATCTAATATGATGCCAGGCTAGGTTTGTCAAAAATGTTAAAGGTATTTCCTTCTATTTCAAATTGGCTGAATGCTTTGATCAGAAATGAGTATTTGATTTTGTCAAATGTTTTATCAATTTTATTGGTATTCTCAATAAATTAACTTTTCATTTCATTGATTTTTCTGTATTTTTTATTTCACTAATTTTACACATTGACTTTTATTATTTCTTTTCATCTACTTACTTAGGATCTCACCTGCTCTTCCTTTCTAGTTTATTAAAATGACTTAACTGAAATCACTGATTTGGAATTTTTCTTTTCTAAAATGGATGTTTATTTTTATTTTTTTGTTTTTGGATGTTTAATACTATAAATGTCTTCTAAGTACTGCTTAGCAGTATCATATAGATAGTGGTGTCTTAAACTTTCATTTTCATTCAGCTTAATATATTTTCTAAACAGTCTTTAATTTCTTCATTTATTTGGAAGTGTTTTTATTTACTTTCCAAATATTTCCAGAGTTCTTTTCTGTTGAGTGAAAACTAATTTCTAACTTAATTGCATGGTGGTCATAGAATATACTTTGTGATTTGAATTTTCCTAAATTTATTGAAACCTTAAAAATGGCCACAGAATGTGATATCCTAGTAAATGTTCCACACTCACTCAAAAAGAATGGAATATTCTATAAACTGGTCAAGTTGGTTGACAGTTTTAGCAATTTTCTGTCTACCTGTTCTATCAATTATCGTGAGAAGTGTACTGGATTTGCAACTGCATTTGTCTATTTCTTCTTAAAATTCCTTATTAGCTTCATGTATTTTGAAGCTCTGCTATTAAGTGCATAAATGTTTAGTTCTATTAAACCATTTTGATGAATATATCCTATTATTATTATAAAATAACTTATTCCTCAGTCTTTTAACTATTTAGAGAAATATTTCTTGGTCTCAAGTCTACTTTGTCTGACATTAACATAGCCAGTCTAGTTTTCTTTTCACTGTTAGCATACTTTAAACAATTATTTATTTTAACCTATTTTGTGACTTTATATTTTTAAAGTGGATTTCTTATAGGTTGCATATATACTTAGGCCTGCTTCAGCAATCTGTTATTCTTTGCCTTTTAAATGAGGTGTCTACCTGTAAAAGAATGAAACTAGAACACTTTCTAACACCATACACAAAAATAAACTCAAAATGGATTAAAGATCTAAATGTAAGACCAGAAACTATAAAACTCCTAGAGGAGAACATAGGCAAAACACTCTCTGACATAAATCACAGCAGGATCCTCTATGACCCACATCCCAGAATTTTAGAAACAAAAGCAAAAATAAACAAATGGGACCTAATGAAACTTAAAAGCTTTTGCACAACAAAGGAAACTATAAGCGAGGTGAAAAGACAGCCCTCAGATTGGGAGAAAATAATAGCAAACGAAGCAACAGACAAAGGATTAATCTCAAAAATATACAAGCAACTCCTCCAGCTCAACTCCAGAAAAATAAATGACCCAATCAAAAAATGGGCCAAAGAACTAAACAGACATTTCTCCAAGGAAGACATACAGATGGCTAAAAAACATGAAAAGATGCTCAACATCACTCATTATCAGAGAAATGCACATCAAAACCACAATGAGGTACCATTACACGCCAGTCAGGATGGCTGCTATCCAAAAGTCTACAAGCAATAAATGCTGGAGAGGGTGTGGAGAAAAGGGAACCCTCTTACACTGTTGGTGGGAATGTAAATTAGTACAGCCACTATGGAAAACAGTGTGGAGATTTCTTAAAAAGCTGGAAATAGAACTGCCATATGACCCAGCAATCCCACTTCTGGGCATACACACCGAGGAAACCAGATCTGACAGAGACACGTGAACCCCAATGTTCATCGCAGCACTGTTTATAATAGCCAGGACATGGAAGCAACCTAGATGCCCATCAGCAGATGAATGGATGAGGAAGCTGTGGTACATATACACCATGGAATATTACTCAGCCATTAAAAAGAATTCATTTGAATCAGTTCTAATGAGATGGATGAAACTGGAGCCCATTATACAGAGCGAAGTAAGCCAGAAAGATAAAGACCATTACAGTATACTAACACATATATATGGAATTTAGAAAGATGGTAACGATAACCCTATATGCAAAACAGAAAAAGAGACTCCGATGTATAGAACAGACTTGTGGACTCTGGGAGAAGGCGAGGGTGGGATGTTTCAAGAGAACAGCATCGAAACATGTATATTATCTAGGGTGAAACAGATCACCAGCCCAGGTTGGATGCATGAGACAAGTGCTCGGGCCTGGTGCACTGGGAAGACCCAGAGGGATCGGGTGGAGAGGGAGGTGGGAGGGGGGACCGGGATGGGGAATACATGTAAATCCATGGCTAATTCATTTCAATGTATGACAAAAACCACTGCAATGATGTAATTAGCCTCCAACTAAAAAAAAAAAAAAAAAAGACAATAAATAAATAAATAAATAAAGCTGGAGAAGGAACATTTTCATTCTGTGATTGAAATAGAATTATTTCTAGGTTAGATATCTTCTTCTTTCCAGGAGGCATAAAAAAAAAATAAATAAATGAGGTGTCTAGATCAGTTACATTTAATATGACTGCTACAGCTGGGTTTAAACTCATCATCCTTTTGTTTTCTGATGGTCTCTATTCTATGTTTTCACTTCCTTCTTCTTCTTTTGAATTAACTATATATTTTTTTATAATTAGCATTTGTCTGCTTTGTTTTTTTAAGCTGTAACTTTCTATATACCATAAAGTTCTCCTACCTAAATTGTACAATTTACTGGGTTTTAGTAGATTTACAGAATTGTGCAACCATCACCACAACATAGCTTTGGAACACCTTCATCATCCCCAAGAAAAACCTGTACACATTAGTAATCACTTCCAGTTGCTCCCTTTGCCTCTGTCCCAGTTCTAAACAGCCACTAATCTATTCCTTACCTCCGAAGATTTGCCTATTCTGGCTGTTTCTCATACAACATGTGGTCTTTTGCAAATGACTCTTTTCACTTTACCTTTTGAGGTTCATTCATGTGAAAGAATGTATCAGTGCTTCATTTCTTAAAAATTCAATTATCATTTTTAAAAATTTAGATAAGAAAAAACATTCACCATTTCCAATGATTTTCATTTCTTTATGCAGATGCACATTTCCATCGGGCATCATTTTCCTTCTGCCTGAAGGATTAGGCTTAACATTTCTTACAGTGTAGGTATGCTAGTGATAACTTCAGCTTTTATACATTTAAAAGTTTTCTTTCCCCT